ATTTGAAGTAATTTAACCAAATAGTAGTTTGTTAACAGCCGATGTGTAAGAACCATAGACATTTATTTTCTGCAATAATCCAAAGAAATATCCACTTGTTGTAGATGTGCTGTCAAACGAAAAAGAAGTTTCCTTGCAGCACTACACTCACATCTGCCTGTCAACAACACAAGTAAGCATCCAGAAATGTGACCTCCGTCTGGCACCTCGCTCATGAAAACCTTATGCACATGCAACCGCTTTTAATTATGCTGCCGGCTCAAAAGAAGTTTACTGCTCAGTTCTCCTGTTGTTGCAACTTATCATTGACAAATACTTAACAAAGGAGCTACATTTGAAGTATTTGTAAATTTACATCAGATAAGGTGTTGATGCTTACCACATGAACTGTTAGGTAACCGATTGGATATGCAATGTGCTTTTCACTAGTGGCTTGAATTCTTTTTCAGCCAGCTCAGTGCTGTCAGCCTGGTATCGCTTAAGAGACAAACAGTCGGTCCAGGGGGACGGATGACGGATGGCATTATTGGTTGTACATTTCAGTTAAAAGAGAAGTCCTGTTTCCAGGACCTTCTGTGAATCACATCATGTGTGTTACTCAAATAACCCCCCACTTTAATCAAACAGTCATTTTAATCAAACGTTCATATCTTCAGTCAAAACGAGTTTCATTCATCACTTTATCGTCACTTGTCACTTTGTCTCTTTGTCTCTTGTCTGTTACTTGTTTGTTAGTGCACTTTATGCTTAATATTTTTCTTTTTAACTTTTTAATATTTACATTTTTTTACCTTTATTCCCTTGTTTTATACTAACCCATAGCCTTATTCTACTAACCCATTGCATTAGCATTTCATTGCACTTTATTTTATTACTTGTGCACTGTTGTCTTGTCTGTCTTCTGTCGCGCACTAACCGCCAAGACACATTCCTTGTATGTTTGACATATTTTGGCTAATAAATGTTTCCTGATTCCTGAGTTTGCATTCGTGTGCAGACAACTTCCATCATACTTTCTTCAGCAGAGCATTCTTAATGAGTTCAGTCCCTTTGTGTGCAGCCTGAGGAGCTGTGCTGATGGACGAGGACCAACAGAGGTTTGAGTGTTCTCTGTTACTGCTCTTCGCTTCTGATGGTCAGTCAGCTCTGGCTTTGAATCCCAAAGATACCAATGAAGACATGAAGCTTGTGGTGTCTTGAAACAGGGACACGGAGGCCATTTTAGGGAAACATTAAACCAACCAGCGCCTTTTATGGCGTGCAGACGCAATTGTTCAATGTTGCTGTTGCGAGAGACGTAGTGAAAGCGTGTGTGATACGATGACAAGTCGTATTGGTAGGCAGGTGTAACCATGACCTATGAAACAAACCCATCCAGGACCTCTGGCGCTCAGAGCAACGAAAAGGTGGTCTTCATGTCCACTTGTCATGGCCTCTGTGAAACCAAGTGGATCTGCACCCAGTGTGTATTGAAAGACATTAACCCAACATGATCACGCTGAGACAACTGGACCGCAACAGTGGGCACAAACACGTGCACGTCCACCAACACACTGGGGCCAAGAGAAGAAGAGTCCACAGCTCAGGTCTCTTTCCAATGGGAGGAGAAACACACACACAACTGGTGGGGCAGAGAGGGCAAAAGCAGGAAAAATACAAAGCCCAGTGAGAGTAATGAGGGCGCCAACGGGGTGGACAGTCAGAAGAGTCTCAGAAGTGGGGAGAGCAGCGAGCAAAGAGGGGAGGTGGGAGGGAGACCAATTAGACCGGAGGTCTCACTTCATGATGCACTTGTGGTCATATTTTTGATGCAAAGATTTTACAGACTTTAACACAACAGGCATATGATGATATGAACTCGTTTTAACTTACTGATGTTAAGTAAAATATACACTACACTAACATGAAAAGGCTATTTATTTCAATCCAAATTGTTTCCATAACCAAAAAAGCAGGAAAAAAAGGTCAAACAGTACGCGTGTCAAATGTGTTACTCAATAGGTAAAAAACGTACACATTGTTGCCTACAGGTCTAAAAGAAACTATAAAATCAAGTGAAGAATTAGCTTGCTCCTCATCCAAAGAAATTCCCCCAAGTTATTACTTAAATGGTACGGACGTAGTCACTTACTGATGGAGAACCCCAAAAAGCTAACGTTGGCAGCCAAGGTTGTCTGCCGGCGTCGAGGCATAAAAATACCCTTGGCGCCACATGAATTCGACTAAGGAAGAAAGTGATACATAGAAAGAGTAATTCAGGGAGAGAGAAGCTGAATGAAGGAGGAGAAGGAGGAAGAAGGGCAAGACAGGTCCAAAAATAAAAGCAGGGAGAGCGCTAATGAGTACACTCAGGTTTGCTTAGGTGCTGTGACAACGTGCCGCCTCATCGCTTCAAGCAGACTACATATCTAATGAATAACACACACACACACACACACACACACTATCCCCTCAAGCTATTTTCATCTGCATGTTTTTTTTTGGGGGGGGGGGTATCCAAAACCAGAACACAACTCATTCTACTGAGAACCAAAGTGTCCCATGTCCATAACGCTGCTTCTGTCTCTGCGGTGAAAACGGGGAAGAAGCTGTGCCATGAAAGAAAGGACCGCCGTGCGGTCACTTGGATTGCTCAAAGTAGTTCTCGCAGATGCAGAAGAGGTAAAACCTTTACAATTCAGCAGATCGTTCAGCATCAGGACCTCCGGCATTCACACAGGCACAGTGAGCAACATTCAAAATACATATTGTGACTTGTGCTCAGGCAGTTTTTGAGATGTGTGAATTACGACTTGATCTATGGAAAAGCAAAAATGACACTTGAGGCGTGTCCTCCCTTCAAACTTCTCTTTGCTGTTGTTGAGTGACTTGACAAAGCTCTTTATCAATCACATGAGATGAGGGACATTTCTTTAGAAGTGCTGCAATGACATTTTTGCAATAATTCAACGTACTGTGGCGAACCAGGGGGAGAAGCGTAGCCAATGCGGCCCAGGTGGGGGAGGTAATAGAGGGTGTGTCCTACCCAGTGCAGGTGCTGCGATCAATAGGCACCTGTTATAGGGCCCACCTGCAGAAGGGACATAGATGGAGGGGGCTGAGAAGCAGGAGGGGGAGTATTGACGAACTAGCAGTTTAAGAGAACCAAAGCAGAACGCCGACCAGGATCTCTGTTTGCTTGAGAGAAGTCCTTTTGAACAGGAGGTGACCCTATCGCCTCTCTCATCTGCTCTCTTTAAACAGGACGAGTGACCTAGAACCTAAGACCCCGACCCGGAACAACCTTTTATATAAATTGTTTTATTGATTTTACAACATATTCCAGACAGAAAAGGAGAACATGGCTACCTCAAAAGGGTGAGGGTTACCAGGAGATTCCATTCAGTGGTGCATCACTTCGAGGTAGGTATCATCCGTCAGATTTCGTTTTGAATCGCAGCACCTTTCAAATACTCCTAATAAAAAGGCCTCCAAGTCTTATCGAAAGAGTCACTGGAATCTCTAAATGAGAATCTCATCTTATCGAGTTTTACATTATTTAAGATCTCAATCAACCAACTCGTGTTGAGTAATATGAGGCGCCTAGCGAGTGTCGTAAAGGCCAGGATGCGTCGTCCTGTTGACTGCAGATCAACGACTTGGGCGGGAAGAACCTTTAGTTGTATTTGGACCCCAGCCCCTTTTCCCAATGTTTAATGTCTCTATGTACCTGATTTTATTCGGAAATCTTGCCTCCACGTTTTGCCGTATTGCCACTGTACCTTCATTTTTCATTTATTTAATCTACAATTCGGTCTGGTTATTTATTCTCAGCTGAATTCTTGCCTCTAAAAGATGCTTAATAACGAATTCCAGCACTAGAACTGCAGCAGGTAATTTCTTATATATCTCATCAAGACTAAACTTTTGGGTGCTTAGTCAGCTGTAGTCGTTCAGACCAAAATATTTAAAGAAATGCATTTATATTTTAATTCTGGGTTCTGTTCGAACTGACTTTTTACAAAGGATCCAATAAGGGAAATCATGAAGTCAAACAGATAACTTGGGGATTGTCATTTTGCATCAAACCCACGCAGGTGGAATTCAAGCTTATGCTAAAATAAAGATCAATAGACTGCCCCCTGAAGGAATTTCATGATCACCAGTTTAGCTTTTCAAATTAAGGTAAAATCCCTTTACTATTTGTAAGGACTCTACTCCAGTTTGGTTTGTTCGGTCCAAACCCGGGTTCTGATTGACAGCTTTAAACGGCCCAAACAAACATAACTGACCATAAAGAGTGAAGCTGAGATAGTAAATCCAGTAAAAATCATTCATTTTTAATAACCACATCATATAATAAATCTAAATTGGGTGGTATTCTACTTTGCTGCACATCTGCAGCTTCCCCCAGTAATCCGTGCACAAATAGGTCACAGCAAGGACATCTGGATGTGTGCATGTACTGGATGTTGCTTTGCGCGGGTTTATGAGGTCATGCTTGTATGTGTGTGTTTTCCACATAAGCACTGCAAAGAGAATATCCTCCCCCAAGGCCGAGTGTATGGCCCGAGGGCTCCAGTTGATAACCAAGATCAGCTGTTCAACGGATGAACCGACTCGAACACACGCTCGTGCTTTCAAGAGGTGCAGGGAGAAACCGATGTCCCACTGAGGCTGGGAGGAGGCCCCCTCCTCATACGGACACTGACTCCTCGAGGCAAACGGTCTGCACACACACAACAGACAGCACGGAAACGCTCACTATCCGTCTCCCCTTTAGATGTCAGTGCAAGAAGACAAAGAAAGTGCATTAAAGCAGCACTGTCCACACCTGTGGAATACTGAGAAGCAGCTCAGAATACTTGAACGTGAGAAGGAATTGATCAAACATCAGGTGGAGGCCCAGTGGCATCGGCAAATAGATTGGCTTGTTTTCCCACTTCATTCAGTGTGCGTCTAATATTCTTCAGATCACATCCAGTATGTGAATAGACGGGATTCCGTTCCTCTCTGCTCACCTTCCTCAGCAGGTTGCAGATCCTCTCGATGTTCCGCAGTCTCTCCCTCTGTGAAGAGACAAACGGAAAAGGGAGAGTTTATAGCTTCCAAGGATTCACAGAATACTTTAGTGATGACGCAGTCAGAGTGTATTCCAACATCCGTCTAAAGATGAAACAGAATAAAGTCCTGCTGAAAGGAAGTGGAATACAGTTATATGACGTTTAGAAGAAACTACAGAAGCATTCAGCCACCATTAAATCGTTAGAAGTCATTATTTGTCAAACAAGTCAGACCATTTTCACGGACATACTGTGGATGTGTCAGTAATAGTTTTGCCAGTGGGATTAAAAGCTGCATTTATAATGCTGAAAAGGTTGGTGGTGCTAAATCTGAGAGGCATTTCAGCCCTGCTCCTTTAACTACGTCCCGGTGTTGGATCAGGTAGTTGCAAAGAGACAGTGTTCAGATATCGATAGCTGACGTTCGGGCCGATTTGAGAGTTCTCTCGTGGTTTAGTTGTTTAGAAACTCCATGTTAAGTCTTTGCGTGGAGTCGTCACGGTCGATGTTAAAATCACCAGCTACGATCACCAAAGATGAGGAACAAGTTGGGAATTTAGCGCCTGAGTAAAGGGGTTGGTAGACATTTGTACATATGATTGGCTCTAGATTTTGAACACGAGGGCCACAAAACATCATCGTTTTGGATAGACTCCAAATTATTGTTGTAGACATTAAGAGAACTTTTTCCTACAGCAGTCAGAGTACTTATCATTCATTTCAGTCACCATATTTCAATATTTGAGCATTCTCAGCTTGTGTAATAAACTATAAAATGCTCAAGGGAGCAAGACACCTAACTACTCCCACTGTGTGGGACGGGTTAAATGCAGGACAGAACAAAGCAAACCCAAACAGGGTAAACACAGCCAAAGGCAAAGCAAAGCAGTGGTCTCTGGCAGGTTAGCGGGTGTAGTGCTGCTGCTCAATGAACCTTGCCCCGCTTCGGACAAGCAGCGAGAGTTACCAGCGGCGGACATTGAGTGCATCAGGTGGAGAATAGTATGCAGTCATACCAGTGAGCTTGTGTCACCACTCGGAGCAGCGTGAAAGACGCCAGGAGGTGTCGTAACCGCAGCCTCTGGCAAATGAAATGCAGACAGGTGCTCTGAAGCCGCCTTTATACCGCAGCGTCATGCAGCGATTGGCTGAAAGTTACATACATACATTACTATGATTGCCATGTAATGGAGCCGACGTTCATCTGGCCCATGTAATTGGGAGGGACCCGGTCATTTTTCTAAATAGTCTGACTGAAGTGGGTGGTGTTTATGGAGCCCTGGAGTTACACCAGTAATAATAATGAAACAATATTGGTAAGCCAGGCGTTAGCAGACCAGGCAGGGAATTTATTACACGCCTGACCTGAGCATTCCATAGAAAAACAAATATTCTATGTGGAACTGTTCCTTCAAGATCACGGTTGCATTGTAAAATGATCTGTTTGATGTATTCGAAGTCCAGATGCCACAGCGTTCCAAATGTATTGTGTGCTTTCCTAAAATATGTATCAATGAATTTGTAAAAATGCATATTTTACAGGGCAGGATGCGACACAGGTTTCCCCTTCAAAATGCTTAATTGATTCCTCTAAATAATGAAACTAGAGGTTCTTGCTGAACGAACACCATGGTAACAATGGAGAGAGATGGAAAAGGTAAAAGATAAAAGATGATTCATGATAAGGAAATATGACCATTATATCCACTTTAACAGTCTACAGACTACAGACAGTCAACAGACTACAGATCACCCTGAAATGCCTCATGGGATCTACCTCATTACACAAGAAACAACGAACGAATGTATGGGAAACATATTGCACTTTGTCTTTTCATTTTTCATTGTTTCAAACCACGTGGAAAAGCCAGTTCAGCAGAAGAAGGGGAAGACTTTCCAGTGCTATGGACGGGAATCCGTAACCCGAAGAGAGGGAGAGAAAGAACATGCATTCATAGTGGTGGATGACAGCTGCAGCTTTTACACAGTAGAACACAGCAGAATTTGAACCTTTCCTCTGTCCCTGATGCGACCTCATGTGTTGCATATACCCATTATCACTATAAACACTTCTCATTTATAATACGGGTAGATGAAACCCAGCATTCTGATTGGTTGAGAGTGAGTCACAGGGTGTACATTATTGAGCCATAATGTACTGTAGCTGTTCACATTGACCTGAGGTTCCATATCACTGCACACTCAAAATAACTGGTTAGATTTTGTGCGACCGTTAATTGTCATTTCCTGTTTTAGCTCGGTAGCGATCGCCGAATTAAGACCGGAAACACCCCAAATGACCGCTTTAGGGCAATGGGAGCTTTAGCTTTTAGCTAAAGGGGACAATTCAGGTGGACGCCATGAGAAATGTCAATGAATTACAGCTGAGAGGTTTTCAGAGCAAGCACAAATGAATGTTGATCATCAACCAACTTCTGGAGCTGGAATAACCAACGTGACGTTCTCAATGCTGTACGGACACCATTTGTCTCTGGGCTACTGGAATGCGACACATGTTTGGTGGCTACAACTATTTTGTGCTGAAAGGTTACCACATTATAAATAGTATCAAGGGTTCCCTAACAACACCCTTGAACTGTAACATTATTGACGATAAAGTACAGCCTCTCGTGCCTTTTATTGCTTTAGCGCGCGCACACACACACACACACACACACCCCGACAGCCAATTTTCTCCACTACTGGTGGACATGTCTGAGACACCTTATGAAGGGCGCTCCTGCACACCATCTCCCCCTCGCCTCTGCGTCCCACCCAGTTTGAAAGAAGCCCCTTCGTTACACTCAAACAGCCTAGTGTGTGTGTGTGTGTGTGTCTACGCACACACCTGCACTGTCACAGTGCTCATTACCAAGCCATTGGGCTGATGACTCAGCGAGAATCTGCTTGCCAAGCCAGACGAGGACGGTACAAACATGAGTCGGGGAGTGAGGGTTGGAAAACTAGAAGTGGTGAAGGGTGGCAGACTTTCCATTGACCTTTATTTATTTAAGCTGACAGAGTGATTGAGAGCTAATTCTCATTCACGGGAAGAACGTAGTCGCACAATGAACCCCGGACGATGAAGTGGCGGCGGGTTGTTCGTGACACAAATGTCCCGCCGGCAATAAGTGTGTGTTTAAATGCTGTGAAATGAATTTCCTCTTCTTGAACTAAAGCGGGGCAGACAGGCGTGTAGCGGCGAGGGAGATGGGGCATTGAAATGGTGTTAAGGGGCTACAGAAGCTCGTGTTCTCGGTGAGATGAACATCAAATAACTACATCGATAAAACCTCAATGATTCTTTCCTTCATGTGATTTCAGACTGAGATCATATTATCATTGCAACGGGATACAGTTTAATCTTACTATGAAAGCAAGCATGTGAATGTGCACTGTGTACCTGCAGCGCACACACATTTCCATATTGTTGCTCTGAACTAATTAGTTTGTTACATTTTTACGACTGATGTCTGTGAATTTACTGTAAGAGAAGGGAAACGCTGCCCCCTATTTGTTTTGAGCACGTGTCCGATCCCACCATTTAAGCTTGTAACAGATTTCATTGCAAGAAATGATGGAAGTGCAGCCAATCACACAGAGGGTGTGTAGTAGGTGCATACACACTGAAGTCCACTCAAACTGAATGAGCACCCAAACTATGAAAGAGGTTTTGAAAACATCAACAACCCGTTTCTGGGCTCCTGCAGCGACAGCCGCCCTCCTTCTCTTGGAATTGTTGTTGAAGGCATAAACAGTGACGGAATATAATGTATTATTTCCACTACACTGACTGACAAAGACGGGATCATGAATGTTGTCTTGTACTTTTTGCAGAGGGAGGACCAGGACCAGGGTGAGGACCGTCTAGGAAGAGGAGAACGTTTTGTAGTATGTCTATGACGGTGCTCACAAAGACGGAGATGTGTGCATTTAAATGTGTCCGTGTGAAGGTTAGCACGCTGACACAAAAGGAGGGACAGGAAGGACAGGAAGGAGGGACAGCCGGGTGGGGGACAGTGAGTGAGAGACGCATCATTTCTGTGTGTGTAGGAATAGTAGCTAATTACTGTATTAGAGGACAACTCCATCAACACAGGGAGGAGAAGGAGAAGATAAAGTTGAAATTAAAAAAATGATCTTCCAAAAACACCCATCGTCCAGTAAAACTGTTGACATCCAATTATTTCATCCACAAAGGAGCAGCTACCAGAAATGGTGCGTTTAGTGAGTGCTAGGCAATGCTAACTGTACAGTTGTCATGTCAATGAGCAAACTCAGTGTTTAACTATCCCTGCGAAGTTGTGGTTGCTTTGTACCAAAGTAACGTTAATACATAAACTACAGTTTACAATTCTGTCAAGCAATTTTCATAAAACAGCAAAACTTTAACTGTCATGAAAGATTAAGAGCAACAGCAGCTTTGAGATTGAACTAATGTCTTTGAAAGAGAAATAGTCAGTTTGGGCAGCAGTGACGCATTGTGAAGGTCAGGAGACCAAGGAGAACCAATGGGTTACACAAACAGTCGAGAGAAGAAAATGAAATGGAACCTTTTGTACCGGTTCTCCCGCTGGACTCTTTGATACTGTAGGTTCTATATTGCAAAACGATATGCAAATACGAAACAGGTACGGTTTCATCTGTCTCCTTCTCCAGCTCCCTTCCTTTCTTCCGCTCATGAATGGAAGTCAATAGAAGCCATACAGTCGAGAGCCCCTAATTCAAAGTCACCTCCAAACTAAATGCTGCTGCTGTGGCACACTGCCATGCATTATTAAGAGCCAACAGCGTTAGTAAAAGCCCAAAAGACTCAAGGGAAGGGATTTAGAAGGCTGGAGTAAATCCTAAAACAACTTCATCGGGGGCGTCTTCCCCGTGCCGGCCCACGCAAGCACACTTTCCTCCACAACGGCTCCTGACTGTCTGCTAAAAACAGCAATGGGGAGAGGGTGTCAGGGCGAAAACACACCCACGACTCAATGCATCCCTCAAATTGCACCTTTTATATATTAATTCAATTCATCTCTTCATCATTATTATGCTTTGCACGTTCGATTAGTCTACAAGACAGAGGGTGTATAAATAAGTTAACCCATGAATTGACTATTGTTAAGAATTAATATTCAACAGGCTGAATTAAATAAATATTATCTTTTAAAGAGCACCCTGGATACACACAACCAGCGAAAGCTGATGCTCTTATCCAAAGTGACTTACATTGCATTTTTAACCCATGGCTTTTTACATTTTTGCCCGGGGAGCAGTTAGGGGTTAGGCGTCTTGCTCAGGGACACTTCAACATGGGACCCAAACGGCCAACCCCCTCTCCAGCGCCGCGCCATGCCGACCCCTGCATAGACCCCTGCATAGAGCCCTGCATAGAGCCCTGCATAGACCCTGCATAGAGCCCTGCATAGACCCTGCATAGAGCCCTGCATAGACCCTGCATAGACCCTGCATAGACCCTGCATAGAGCCCTGCATAGAGCCCTGCATAGAGCCCTGCATAGAGCCCTGCATTAACCTGAAAACATTACGAGTGGTTGGCACCTTTCAAAGCAGCTGGTCTCCCAATGATAACGCTGCAATCCAACGGACCCGTATGACGTTTCCTCTTGAGTTCAAGTCAATTGAATTCAGACACTTGTTTTATGACTGAAGGAATCCTTAACATGTTTTCCTCACAACGCAGCTGAGAATGATCTCATTGAATGAGAGACAATCTGTACGGTTTCTAAAAATAACATGATGGTTAAAATGGTTCGGTTTCAGGAGAACGTTGACTGGTTTGAAGATTCCATGTTTCTTTATGGATGTGATTTGCTTTTATTTATTTCATTCATTTTGGGATTCAAGAATTTATTTGTTAAAAATATGATAATTTATACTTAAGTCCAACGATATGAGTCTGCTTCTGAGCCAGGGAGTTATGAGAGGAGAGCTTACAGAACTAGTATGTTGCCAACTGCATGATCCACGATTCATGGAGAAAGAGAGGAAAGTCAAGGGAAGGACAATTCATAAACGATGGTGTTGATGATGATAAAATATAATACTTAGAACATGTTTAAAGAAAGGAGAACACTTGTACCGCATGTAGTGGGTTGCCCTGATCGATCGGCACCTTGAAGTCAGTCTGCAGCTCATCGAAAGCTGTAATCTGCAACAGAGGGAGAGAGACGCAAATGTAATCAGTAAAATAGAAGCACAAAACAGAATCAAATGACACCAACGGCGTTCTGGTCATCTTTAACCACCAATGCATTGAGAATGCATGTGGCGAGCTGCATGATGTTACATTTATCACCTTCTCCAACAAAATGACAAATTACATTCACTCATTACTTTTACTGCAAAAAAGAAAAGAGTGATAAAATAATAAATTCAAAATAACACATTTCAAATAAAATAAAATGTAGCCTTATAATCTTTGAATTAATTTGATTAATGCTTCAGCAGTCTATGTGTTGGCATCACAGAACCAACACGTGATGGTCTCGTATCCACAGCGGCAGCAGCTCCTACGCTGTGGTGAAAGGTTACTTGCATTGTGCCACACATCTGGTAAGAGGCATCTGGCCTTCAATTTAGATTTAGAGTTGCCAGTTAGTGAGACGACGGACTTCTTCTGCATCTGTAGCTCATTTTTCTTTCTCTTAAAAAATTCCACGAGCGTTGGATCTTTGGTTTCCATATGACGGCTTCATTGGCGAGTTATGCTGCGTTCACTCCAAAAGCCAAGCGAATTTCCGCCGCGCTATACTCGCCCGACTAGTTGTGGTTATTTCACTTCTTTGCGTCCCACTTGGGGGCGTGGCTTATCTCTGTTACTTGTCTTTGTAAAGACGTTCGCACCAAACGCAACACGCATGTGTCAAACGCTGTAAACGCCCCGCAGGACTCTTGGGGAGCACATGTGGTCAATTTGCGTGTATCGCGTATTCACGCCCGTGGTTTATCACCCAGATCTGATCCGCCATTGTTTTTCCCTCGCATCAACCCTGGAAGACATAGCGACTCTGTCCTTGTTGTGGAAGTTCTACTCACTCGGACCATCAAACAGTTGACAGAGTTGTGTTTTTGTACTAAATAGCATCTGTAGGCACGGACAGCTCGGTGAATTTAACCGACTTCTACAGAAACTGTGTCTGGGTGACTGCCGCTTCCAGCGGTACATGGTGCTAGCCGTTAGCCCGTTTGATTGGCGATGGCTCGGATCGGGCCCCGGACCTCACCGCCTTCACATCATACTTCCATGCCGAGGGACCTGTCCCATGGAGAGACATCGTATTCTCAAGCACAACCAAATGTTATCATTGAGCAAACTTCCTTAATATTACTTAGTATCGGTGTGTCGTTACAATACAATTACCCTTCACTGTATTGTACTGTATTCAGTGCAGTGATGGGATGTTGTAAAAAGGCACATATGTCCGTATGCGGTTTGTCGTTCCCGGACTGGTCGCAGTAAAGGGACACCGAAGTCTGCAGGTCGTCATTGACGACAGGGAGCATCTCGGCGCTGATAGGCTATCGCGCCGCAGCGTCACGGTATTTTGTCGCCAAAGATGGAATATTTCAACTTTCGCGTTTTCTGCGTTTGGCGCAAACTCGACACGAGAACAAATTGACTTTGAATTTGCGGGTACAAGTTGAACGTTTTCTGTGGCCCTCCAGGTGGGGAGAGCGGCCCTATGGTTACTGCTCCAATCTGTTCCTCTGTGCCTGGTTCCGCATACCTCAATGTGACTGCTGTATTATAACGTTGATAAAACCTAATGAAGTCCAAAAGCCAACATTTATTGACAAAAAGAGGTAGTTTTCAAAATGAGATTTGATCCAACAAAATATTTATTCTTTGTTGCTTTAAATTTTAATACAAGTTCTGTGTTCGTCAGCAATTCTCTGAAAGAAGTACACAATCTGCAGCACTCTCTGTAAGCGAGGGCCGTAAAGTCTAACCACCACATTTCTGCACCGTCAGATAAAAAAATGCCCCTGACGTGCACTTACGAAGCTGCAGCGTTCTCAAAGTTGCTCTGAACACACGGCCTTCATTTTGGAATCAGCTTTTCAAACGTGTCATCGTCCACATGAAGTGCTACAATTAAAATATCTGCCTAAAGGCACAAACCCCGACATTACATCCTGCCGCCCACCCACTGCAGCATTGTGGGACAGCTCTGAGCAACAACGGAGTAATGATGAACAGCGGGTAGAATATGCAGTATTCGGTTCCATTGGTGTGGCAATGGAACTACAAGGACAGCCGTCATTGCTTGACTAGTTAGGCTTCACGAGGGACGTCTGTGTGTGTGTGTGTGTGTGTGTGTGAGTGAAGGCGTCAAAGGATAAACAGTGTGTTTCTCTAGTTTGTGTGCACCATAGAGAACTATACGGTGTGAGAACAGCATGAGTACATCATTGTGTGTGTGTAATTGTTCGAGCGGTACGAAATGTCATCCATGCATTGTGTCCTACATGAGGCAGAAGCAGGAAGCAGGGGAATCTGCTTTGGTACATGAGAATGGGCGTGGGGAATTAACATCAAAGAGAAGGCAGAGGTTTGCACCGATCGCTGGTTATTTCCCTGCGCTCCCCCCACACTGACAGGCAGCTCTTTACATGTTATTTCCCAGTGGATGCTAACGGTGATCCTGCCTCATTGCCACGCTCTGTTACAGTACGTTAGCCTCCCTCGGGCTGCTACTCATGGACGGGGGACCACGCACACGTGTACACGTGCACACATACACAGTCGACATGGGTGCAGGAAGCAAACCCGCTGTATGTAGTCATGCACTTCCTGAAGACACACGCACATAAAAGTGCAGCACAAATACTGCACCCAATGAGAAGAGCACTACAGACTGCATGTCAAGGCTTTTCACTGTGTTCAAAACTGAAAATGATTCAACCTTAAGTGAGGTAATTACAAATTACAATGTCCCACCTAAAAAAGAACCGCCAACCCATTCCTGGACCCGCTGCAGTTCTCCTTAATGTTATACTCTTCTATATTATTTTGTACATATAAATTCAATGTTCATATTTCATATTCATTATTAATCCATATTTCTTGCACTGTGTAAATTAGTCTTATTGTCTCATTGTTCAATGTGTGCCCCAGCTTCCATGACAAGTTCTGATAGCGATCGACAGTTGCTTCAAGTCATGTGTGTGTCTGCTGTGTATGTACCAAACCATATCCGTTGTAATATTCAATATTGTCTTATCCTCACTGGCGAGCAGTGAAAGCATGACACAGTTATCAAAGTCAGATTTGATAATGCAAAGAACAACTAGTGTTGAAAACAATACGACAGGTGGTAAAAGTTTATCCAAATAACATAAAATACCTCATCAATTTATCCACACATCCTTCTCCGCCTCTCATCCAGTTCTCAATGGAATTGGCAGCAGATTACACCAAATATATATTTTACATTAACTTTCTTGGGTATCCTGGTGTCTTATTCCGGGTCCGAGGGGTTAGTTTGTGCCTCCACCCTTTTTCTGGGTTCTTGTCCAAGTTACGCTCCTACTTCCAGGAGTAAATATAATTAGATGTCTGAACTTTAGTCTTTAGTTAACTAAAACGTATCCGTGGTGATGCGGAGAAACGACAACTCTGTTCTGCAGGTGCTGCGTTTCCCCGTTTGGTTCAGTTCGCTGATGAAATACTCAGACTTTGGCTCTCCCTGTTCTTTTCCTTGGTGTATGTAGACCATGGAAGCGATAGCGCCCCCTGCACTCCCTGTAGTGCATTGCAATGCAGAATGGAAAAGACTGCTCAGAATCTTTTTATAATACACAACGCGTCAATGACAGAAAAAGGTTCACAGCAAATGTAGAGGAAGTTCTCATCGCACAGGAATACAACAATCATTTTAAATAACCAAAATCCTGTAGGTCAGAGTTTTACCAGGAAGTTGTTACTCTAAAACATTTCTTAGGAAGTTCTCAGATCAGCAACCTGCTCAACGTGTTTACGAAGTGGATGTAGCCGAATTAATTACTGTGGTTACTGTGTGTTGATCTAAATGTGTCCTTGCTGTCACTGTCAGTCAAAGTTATGACCAACCAAAAACATTGTTTCTCGTCCATTTAAGACATTCATATGGAAGGTCCACTTTAATTATTTAAAATCGTTTCAATTATTCATTGGTATTTCAAACCCACTCAACATTTGTAACAATGCAAAGATTTCAAATGAATAACACACATTTCCACATTGTTACTCACTTTTTTATAACCAATGTCTGTGAATTTAGTGTACAGACTGTAACAGGGGAAACGCTGCCCTCTATTTGTTTTGAGCATAAGGCCCAATCTCACCATTTAAGCTTGTAATGGATGAAATCATCATCATCCCCTCATACCCAAATGTGAACATGGTAAAGCTGAGATACAAAGCCCAACATACATGCAGCCCATTAGGATCTGAGCGATGCTGGACTGGTTATCTCTCTATTTCCCTGCATTAACCAACCAATATAATTATATACAAGCAATAACTTTGCTTTGAAAATCGATCCGAGTAGATTGTTTATATGATTGTGTTTCAAATCGATCTAAAATAAAAGATAATAGCAATAGCATTCGATCATTACTATCATTGGAGAGCTTGAGCTTCTGAGCTTTGTACTATCACGTTGTGTGTCTGTATGATGCTTGTTTCCACATTCTTCTGGCTCAATAGGTTTTATTTTATTTTTTATGAAAGCTCTCTTTTTTATTTATGGCACCATTTAAAGAAATAACACCATTGATCAAAACTACAAATGTTTGCGGGATTAATAGTAATTTGTTAGCAGCAACACTACATGGAAACGGCTATAGTCTGTACAACATACCTGAATACTTTTATACGAATTTCTTCTGGAAAGGATTGGCTTAAGAAGAGCGAAAAAAAACCCTCCGATTCTAGGAAAGATTTCATTTCATTTTGTTTCAAGTCTGTACAACAACACTGATCACTTTACTGCTCTGTCTCTGCATTTTTAATATTTCTCTTAAACGAGATTTTAAGGAGCATTAAAATACTACCCCAAGGTCACCGGCTGTCCATATGCTGAGAATTGGCTTGTGTTTTAATCGCTGACATGCTCTAGTCAGTGTGGGCTTTTATCTGTGCTGAACACCTTGATGGGGGGAGGC